CCAGAGCTAGGCTTACTACATTTATTTACAGGGCCAAACCATAAGCTTAAAAATAAAGAACTTATTATTTATTTAATCTTAGCAGCCAAAATAATAATTATGCAACATTGGACAACTCTAGATAATATAACAATTGAGTTGTGGATTAACAAAGCCTCTTCAATTGCTACATTAGAAAAAATCACAGACAAAGTTAAATTAATGAGACATCAGAGGCAGGAACCACAATTGTATCAAATCTGGATGGATTTTATGGTTTATCTCAATAGCAATAGACTATAATCTGGTATACTTTATATACAGTATATGGCAAATGTTCATATGTACAGTACCTGTCTCTTTATTCTTATTGCAGAAGATCTCTTTTGTATTTTCTATATATTTTTTCCTTTTTTCATTTTTTTTCCTGTATGTATTTTGGATTTAATGTAGTTATCTGATAGTGTTTGTTAAAATTTAATAAAAATATATTTTAAAAAACTATGTGAGAGGTTTGAAGTTAATTGTGAAATATTTTGCATGTACAATCCAGCAAGAATGGTTTGATTTACAAGACCTTAAATCTCTGGACCAAATTTTGTATTGTGCTGGCTGACTTTTTTGGAAGGAAATGGCTGTTGCCTTTAGAGATAAGATTTGACTTTGTATGGTTCATCTCAGGCCCCTGATTATCTATGCTTTTTACAAGTTCAGGGTCCTTCAAAGGATTTGGGTTTCGTATTTTAAAATAATTCAGCTTTAGTATTACAGAGTATTCCAATATTCTGACAGTCTGTTTATGTTTATAGGGTATGTACAGGTAATACAAATTTCATAAAAAATAAAAATTCAACACCTTATCATTTAAATCATCTATTATCAGAGCAACTTATTTCTTTCAAAAGATCATTAGCTGTTTTTTAGATGACGGCTGCCATCCTAAGTACACTAATTATTAGGAGCAAGTCTTACTGATCACATGAAGACTTACATTTGAGTAAAGATGCATTTGCAAAATAGATTATTTATTTATTTATTTGTCAAAATGATAAGGCCACCAACTCATGATGACTCTGGGTGGCATAGCAGTTAAAAACAGAACCCAGTGCTGTACAATAAAACAAATAAAAGAAGACTACAACCAGGAAACCAATAGACCCAACACAATGTTGATCTTATTGAGGTGGACAGGTA